AAATATATATTTCAAATATGTATGTGGCCATGTAGAATTGTGAAGTAAATGTAAGCAAAAAGAAAATCAAGATCACTATCTGTTGATGCCTGTCGGTGCTTCTTTGTGCTGATTGGTATGTATGCTTTACAGATGTCCTCATAGTGTTCATTTTATTTTTCTAAGAGGTTATATATCTTGAATATTTTATATATCTTTGTATAGTTTCTAAAACTTAGCACTTACAGATCAATACACACATATATTAGCCGGGTGTGGTGGTATGCGCCTGTAATCCCAGCTACTCAGGAGGCTGAGGCAGGAGAATCGCTTGAACCTGGAAGGCAGAGGTTGCAGTGAGCCTAGATCGCACCATTGCACTTAGCCTGAGCAACAGAGCAAAACTCCGTTTAAAAAAAAAAAAAATACATATATACACACACTCCCTCTCTCACATACACACGTGTTTTTGCCGTACCTGAACAGGATTATACTACTCACAACTGTTTGTTACTACATTCTTCACTCAACAAACTATGCTGAACATATTTCCATGTTTCCAGTTAAAGATCTACATCATCATTTTAAAATGGCAATAGTTTGTTTTACTCTGTTGATGCTTTGTGATTTATTTAACCTGTTTTCTATGGAAGGACATTTAGGTTCTTTTCAGCTTTATTTCATTATGAACAATATTTTTTTTTTTTTTTTTTTGGTTTTGGTTTTGTTTTTTTTTTTTTAGACGGAGTTTCACTCTTGTTACCCAGGCTGGAGTGCAATGGCACAATCTCGGCTCACCGCAACCTCAGCCTCCTGGGTTCAGGCAATTCTCCTGCCTCAACCTCCTGAGTAGCTGGGATTACAGGCACACGCCACCATGCCCAGCTAATGTTTTGTATTTTTTTTAGTAGAGACAGGGTTTCACCATGTTGACCAGGATGGTCTTGATCTCTTGACCTCATGATCCACCCGCCTCGGCCTCCCAAAGTGCTGGGATTACAGGCTTGAGCCACCGCGCCCGGCTTCATTATGAACAATGTTAACATACTCTTACACATACCTTTGATCATATTTACAATTATTTTCTTTAATCCCCAAAGTAGAATTTCTGAATCAAAGAGTATGCATGATTTAAATGATGCTTGTACATACTTTAAAATCTACACAGTCTGCAGTATACTGGTAGAATGTTCATTTCCTCTCATGCTTGATAATATGGGCATCAGTACTCAGATGCCTGCTGGTGAGTTGTGTTTATTTTAGTGAATCATGCATGCCAGTTTACACTCACTGGAATAAGAAATTCTGGGTTTCAGAGACAAAAGCTGGAGTTGAAGGAAAGCTGACTCTGTAGTTAGAAAAATGATTCCAAATGCAGCTTTGCTACTCATAAACTGCATTTCTACAAGTGATTTTATTTCTCCTTATGTGAATTTCTGATCCATTGTGTGGATAGAATAATTATTGTGCTAAAGAGTAATCCTGAGGATATAGTTAATATATATAAAACACCCAAGGGCACACTGGCTCATGCCTGTAATCCCAGCACTTTGGGAGGCTGAGACGGGCAGATCACAAGGTCAGGAGATTGAGACCATCCTGGCTAACAGGGAGAAACCCCGTCTCTACTAAAAATACAAAAAATTAGCCAGATGTGGTGGCACATGCCTTTAGTCCCAGCTACTCAGGAGGCTGAGGCAGGAAAATCACTTGAACCCGGGAGGCAGAGGTTACAGTGAGTCGAGATCGCGCCGCTGCACTCCAGCCTGGCCTACAGAGCAAGTCTCCATCTCAAAAAAAAAAAAAAACACTCAACATATGGGAACTCTTGATATACATTTGTTACTGTCAAATGACCAAGAACATGAATCCATGCCTCTTCAGCCTAGGTTATAAGAAAGATATTGGCAAATGAATCCTTTCAGAAAACAATGTGGATGATTCTGACTGGAAATAGATAGTGATGAGCCCAGAGGGTTTTAGAAGTTGTTCTGGCTGCAAGCAGGGCTGCCAGTGCAGCAATTTTATGGTGATAATGGCTGCCAGGCTTGGTCCTTATGGATTTCTCTCTTTGTGTCTGGTGAATCTAAACAGGCCTATGACACTTTGAAGAAGGAAGATTGTAGTTTAGATGATAACAGCCCCGGCCAGGCGCGGTGGCTCACGCCTGTAATCCCAGCACTTTGGGAGGCCGAGGCGGGTGGATCACGAGGTCAAGAGATCAAGACCATCCTGGTCAACATGGCGAAACCCCGTCTCTACTAAAACTACAAAAAATCAGCTGGGCATGGTGGCGCGTGCCTGTAATCCCAGCTACTCAGGAGGCTGAGGCAGGAGAATTGCCTGAACCCAGGAGGCGGAGGTTGCGGTGAGCCGAGATCGCACCATTGCACTCCAGCCTGGGTAACAAGAGCGAAACTCCGTCTCAAAAAAAAAAAAAAAAAAAGATGATAACAGCCCCTTATCAACCCTGGAGTTAGCAAGGGATGAGACTTGTCCAGACTCCCTCAAATCTCCCTCTCTCTCTGCCTACGTGTGTGTGCACACGTGTGTGTGGAGTGGGGGGCTGTGATAGAGAGATTAAAAGAGAGGGGAAAGGTCATAGTAACTCAAGTCATTTGGGGATTCCTGAGGTCCATCTGCTCTCATGGTCTTGTTTTCTTCCCCCTAGATTAGCCTCTGTGGACTCGGTGCTTCACCCAGCAAGTAAACGCCAAGGAGGACTGACCAGTTTTTGAATTTCTATACCATGGCCCTTGTAAGTTTATTTTTTTTCTCCTTCTGGGAATACCAGCATGTTAAGGTCCTATGACCATTTTTTTATCCTGAAACTTCCTGTCAGAGCTCTATCCAAGAACCTTCTTCCATATCCAGTGGCAGGTGAACCATAAGGCTTGTCCTATGAACACTCTTTATTCCAGTCATTGTTCTTGTATTTGTTGAACAAATCATTCAGCGTCTCCTATATTGTTCAGTCTTCTGCTTTTAGCTACAATGGAGGAAAAATGAAATCTTTTTTTTTTTTTGATTTTTTTGAGACGGAGTTTCACTCATGTTACCCAGGCTGGAGTGCAATGGCGCGATCTCAGCTCACCGCAACCTCCGCCTCCTGGGTTCAGGCAATTCTCCTGCCTCAGCCTCCTGAGTCGCTGGGATTACAGGCACACACCACCATGCCCAGCTAATGTTTTGTATTTTTAGTAGAGACGGGGTTTCACCATGTTGACCAGGATGGTCTCGATCTCTTGACCTCGTGATCCACCCGCCTCGGCCTTCCAAAGTGCTGGGATTACGGGCTTGAGCCACCGCGCCCGGCATGAAATCCCTTTAAGTATTTGACCAGTCTTTGTGAGCTGATAAGAGAGGATGGGCCCATTTAGCCAGTCATAGGAAAACTGAATCTTTCCAGACTTGAGTTTTCCAAGTATGTAAGATAATGGTTGTGGCTGGGCATGGTGGCTTACACCTGTAATCCCACCTATTCAAGAGGTTGACATGGGAGAATTGCTTGAGCCCAGGAGTTCGAGGCTGCAGTGAAGCTGTAGATGTGCCACTGTACTCTAGCCTGGGTGATAGAGAGAGACACTGTCTCTTAAAAAAAGTTAACAAAAAGCTAAGAGTTGTTGTTAGTTGGCCTCAGCTTCAGTATATGGTAAGATCTCATGCTCTGTGAGTCTTCTAGGACTGAGTAGGGGTGTGGCTAGGTCTTACATACAGAGAGATCAGAGATCTTCTCTTAGAATTCCTGAGTTATACCCAGGAACAAGATTCCATTTTTGGTTGAACAGGATGTGCTGATCTAGAATGACATCTTTGCAGTGCTGGATTATCCTGTATCAGTATCCTTTAACTCAGGAACAAGGAAGGCATATGGGAAAGGATGGAAAGTGATAGCATGTGAGAAGATAATCCAGGTGCATAAGTAGTCACATTGACTCCCAGAATTGAGGAGAATCTTAAGATATTGTCTAACCAGAATATCTAAGTATAGAAGAATGATTAAGTCTTATATATGCATTGTATAGCCTATTATCCAATCAATTTTTAACAGTCATAATTAGGAAAAATGCTTAAGATCTACTTCTAGGATAAACTTAGGAGACATTCTCTAATTGCATTTAGATCCTTTTCTAAGATAAAGATATTATAGGGAGGGAGACAAAATAATCTGTTCTTTAAGGAGAAAGGGATGGAAGAACTCACCTTTCTTGGGAATTTATGAGGGAGACATAGTAGGCAAAGGCTTATATACAGTATTTCATTTAATTGGAAAACTGATTTTCTTTCCCAGACATGCCTGGATTATTAAGATTTGCCAGAGTGCGTTAAGAGGCTATGTCTGTAGCAACAGGATCCTTCAGGAACCCAGGCATTTTGCTTCAGGCACACTCGTTTCCTGACTGGCTGTGTTGTAGGCTTCCAGCCCAAGCCTGTTTACTTGCCATATGGTCTACTTCCTGCAATATCTTCTTCCCTCTTTTCTCCTTCTATCTTTTTTTGTTTGTTTGATTGTTTGACCTGGAGTCTCGCCCTTGTTGCCCAGGCTGGAGTGCAATTGCGTGATCTCAGCTCACTGCAACCTCTACCTCCCAGGTTCAAGTGATTCTCCTGCCTTAGCCTCCCAAGTAGCAGGGATTACAGGCGCATGCCACCACACCTGGCTAATTTTGTATTTTTAATAGAGGCAAGGTTTCTCCATGTTGGTCAGGCTGTTCTCAAACTCCTGACTTCAGGTGATCCCGCCTGTGTTGGCCTCCTAAAGTGCTGGGATTACAGGTGTGAGCCACCACATCCATCTCTCCTTCTATCTTAAAATACATTTTCTCCCATTTCAGTTATAATATGTGGTTGTCATTTCAGCGATCAGTGATGTTCAGTGATATATCCATAGACTTCTCTCCAGAAGAGTGGGACTGCCTGGACTTGGAACAGAAGGATTTGTACAGAGATGTGATGTTAGAGAACTACAGCAACTTGGTCTCACTGGGTAAGGTTATTTGCTTCTAGGAATTTAGACTGTGTTCTCTGTAACATCAGCTTTTCCTCTAGAAATTCCAAGAGTACTTTTAGGAAACTATCTAGATTTCTGTTCCACTTTCTTTTTTTTTTTTTTTTTTTTTTTTTTGAGACGGAGTTTCGCCCTTGTTACCCAGGCTGGAGTGCAATGGCACGATCTTGGCTCACCGCAACCTCCGCCTCCTGGGTTCAGGCAATTCTCCTGCCTCAGCCTCCTGAGTAGCTGGGATTACAGGCACGCACCACCATGCCCAGCTAATTTTTTGTATTTTTAGTAGAGACGGGGTTTCACCATGTTGACCAGGATGGTCTCGATCTCTTGACCTCGTGATCCACCCGCCTCGGCCTCCCAAAGTGCTGGGATTACAGGCTTGAGCCACCGCGCCCGGCCCTTCTGTTCCACTTTCTAAAGGGAACACTTTGAGCTTTATTTCACTGGAAGTGAGCACTTTCATTAAGCACATTTACCTTCCTCATCCTTAAGTAGCCGTTGGGCCTTCCTTAATAATAAAGGGGCTGGGTTTGAGATCTTTGTTATTTGTAGCCTTACCAGTGTCAAAGAAAAGAAGTTTTTCACTTTGTTTTTGAATTCAGAATTGATTTAGATGTTTTGTTACTTGTTGGTATATTACTTGTTACTTGTAAGGGAAATAGCTAGATCCTGTTTATTGAATTTTCTCTATCAAGAGAATACATATGATTTATGTAGTGGTAAAATGGATGATTTATTTACAATTCAAGAGGACTCATTCCTTTCATTAATAAACATACTCAGTTTTACCTACTTTTATGATTGAAAATTAAAAATCCAAGAATTTTGTTCATGTGTTTTATTGCACAGCAAGATGACTATATTTAATTGTATACTGTATATTTCAAAACGGCTACAAGGGAGTTTTTTTTTTTTTTTAATTTATTTTCTTGCATTTTAGGTTTTGGAGTACATGTGAGGAACATGCAAGATTGTTGCATAGGTACACACGTGGCAGTGTGATTTGCTGCCTTCCTCCCCATCACCTATATCTGGCATTTCTCCCCATGCTAACTCTCCCCAACTCCTCACTCCCCTGCTGTCCCTCCCAAGGGAGTGTTTTTAAAGTCCTCACCACAAAGAAAAGAAATCATAGATACTTGAGGTGATGAATATGCTAATTACCCTGATTTGCTCATTCCACAATAACATGTATCAAAACATCACATTGTAGCCTATAAATATATACAATTATTAGTCGAAAGACAAAATAATTATTATTGAGTATATGGAGAAACTGGAACCCTCATACATTGCCAGTGGGAATGTAAGATGGCATAGATATGATCCTATAATTCTTCTCCTAAATGTCTACTCAAGAGAAATAAAAACGTGTCTATACAAAGATGTGTAAGTATTCACAGCAGTATTGTTCACAATGTCTAAATAAATGGATAAATGAAATGTGGCAGTCATACAATAGAATATTGTTCATGGAAGGAACAAACTACTGATGCATGTTATGGAATGCAAGAATATCAAAAACGCTATGCTAAGTGAAAGAAGCCAGATGCAAAAGGTTACATATTGTATGATTCTATTTATATGAAATGTCCAGAAAAGGCAAATCTGTAGAGCCAAAAAGAAGATCAATGCTTGTCTAGGGCCGGGAGTAGGAATGAAGATTGACTGCCAGTGACCAGCAGGGATGGTTGGGGGAATCATGAAAATATTCTAAGTTTGAATTATAGTGATGTTTGCACAGCTCTGTAAATTTACTAAAAATCATTGAATTGTACATTTAAAACAGGTAGATTTTATGCTATATAAATTATATTGCAATAAGGCTGTTACAATCCAGAAACTTGGCCAGGTGAGGTGGCTCACATCCATAATCCTAGCACTTTGGGAGGCTGAGGTGGATCATGAGGTTAGGAGTTCGTTTGGCCAACAGAGTGAAACCTTGTCTCTACTGAAAAAATACAAAAAATTAACCAGGTGTGGTGGTGTGCGCCTGTAATCTCAGCTACTTGGGAGGCTTGAACCCAGAAGGCAAAGGTTGCAGTGAGCCGGGGGCAAACCACTGCACTCCAGCCCCGGGGGACAGTGTGATACTCCCCCCCCCAAAAAAAAAAAAAAAAAAAAAAATCCAAGAACTTTACATTTAACATTGTTTGAATATCCAAGTCATAATAATACATGTCCCAGGAAGCTTCTTATTTTTTCTCTTACCAAATAACAATAACCAATAGCTAATGAAATACAGTGTTTGGTATATACTCTAGACAGTGTGTAGATACAGACATACTAATATAATCTTAATACTCATGTAAGATAGGTACTATGATTATCCCTATTTTATCAGGAAGGAAAAGGTAGCATAGAAGTAACTTGCCCAAGGTCACACAACTAGGTTGTGGCTCAGGCAGGATTTGCACTCGACAGTCTGTGATCTCAACCACTATTGCCTCTGAAAAAGAAACACTTCTGTGAATATAGATTTTAGAAAGATTTTTTTATTCCCTCTCTAATCTCTAATGCGTAACCTTAATGTAAATGTTTTTTTGTTTTGTTTTTTTTTTTTTTTTTTTTTTTTTTT